TTGATAATTAGCACCTTTTGTTAGGCAAATTTCCCAAGAAATGACCCTACTTAACAACACCTTGATGTGTCTGTGTATTTTGCTTAAGCTAATGCTTGTGCGCTAGTGAAAAAAACTTCCTTCAAATTTCTCTTTACAAAATTGATACACTGTCAAGCAAACAGGTACTAAAAAGAATGAAACTCTTAAACATGATGTTTCACTAAATTCTCCAAACTGTAGTGGAAAGTACTCAAATTTTTGGTGTGTTACCTGGTTCTCAGAACTTTCACCCTTCAGGTTATAATTATACACATTGGGTTCTGCACACACTTCAATATTTCACTAAAAAGCTGCTTTATTAGAATAAAAAACAGAAAAGTTTCTTTATTATTATGCATGTGTTAAATCTATGACACAACATATATGAAGAAGCCTAAAGCATGTATAATATTCTTATAAAACACTCTGGGAATTTGTGAACACTTGGGAAATGTAAAAAGCAGTCACCTGCACATGCTGTTCACATTTTCTACATTTCTCCTGTGTTCCCCAAATACCTATTGTGTTTTCTTGCAATGCAATAAATGACCTTATAAGCTTCTCTATTTGTTAACCAAAATCTCCACTTTTCTATAGCATGTTGAAGAGATGAACTCTAAAATTGGCGGCCCATTATGAACTAAATCCTTAAAATCTATCTCCTATTTCAGATGTGAATAAGTTCATGTATGTATGTGATTGCTCTTGATGAAATCCATTGACTCTTGAGGCTCTTTTTTTTTGTCTGAAGGAATAGAAAAATAACTATTTCAGACTAAAACAACTCAAATTTCCTTGGGCACACGTAGTGCATATACCATATTTATTTGATATCACACCAAGGGTGCTTATTGAATTGTTGGATCTTAAGAGTGGGTGCTTATGCGAGGTGGGCACTTATTTGAGGCTGGGCACTTAATTGAAGAAATATGGTACTTCTTTGCATATACGTATCTAAAATTCCAGTTTCAACTTTCACTACAACAATTGTGTACCATGGAATTTTTGATACCAAACAAGGATAACTCTTTTGTCTTCTAGTTAGGTTTGGTTACCTGTTTGCTGTATTTTTCTCATTCACCCTTAAGGCATTCTTAAGCTTAACATCTTTAACTAGACTGTTGTGAATATTCATTTATTCTTATCCCTCTCATGGAGTCCCACAGATTGAAAATGGAACACACCCAAAATTCCATTTCGTAGGCTGAAATTACACTGTGAAACAAATTAAACCAAATGAAAGTACTACTCAA